TGCTAGCAGTGAAATTTTGATTTTAATTTTGCGATAGAATTTGTGACTGCCATTTGCATTCAACATTTCACTTGTTTTGAGATTTTTACATTTACATTTGAACTTTCCCTTACATTGAAATTTTGATTGGCGTTGATATTATGACCGGTATTGAAATTTGTACTTGCGTATAAGTTTGACCTAGAATTGTTGTTGCTGGCAATTGCATTCAACTTGTAACTTGTTAACTATTTCACCGCCTGGCCTATGATTTCTACAGTTCGACCAATAAGCGATCTGCATTCTCGAATCTTATAGCAAGAGAAGCGTGTTTGTGTTTTTGTTTACTAGTACAGATGCAGAAGTAATACTTGAACAATAAACGACGACCACCAACCAATGATGAACGTAAGAACATTTCGAGAGGGTTGTACTGTACGGGGAGTTAGCTGACATTAACAATGCGTGGAATATCTCTACTAGTGAATTACATAGCGTCGGCACTGTAGATTATTCGCCATGATTGTATGACGTCATCACTGCAATTTGTTGCACTAATTAAATAGGATAAGGTACAGATCAAATGAGACAAAACATAAAATTAGAGAAAAGCGAAAAATAAAAAAAGGTAAACAACAAACAGTTCCAGGTTTGTCGAACAATTTTTGTATGGACCTCCTTGGCACTGAAAATAAAATAAAGAATTTGTCAATATGGGCTGTGTACATTATCATAAATATATTATTTCCGTTCTATTCGCCATAAAAGGTGAACAGCCCATAAATAAACAGTGGTTATATAAAAACAAAGGAAATTGTGGATTGTAAAGTGTTCAACAATAATTCAGAATCAAATGCATTTGCTATGCTGCTATTAAAACAAAAAGAAATTGTGATGTCGCCAGCTTGGGCATTGTCGTCAGCTCTCGTGTACCCTTCATATTTGTAACGTCTATTCTTAAAGGGTCGATAAAACAAGGCTAACCTTTGGAATATGATTGAAATGGTGGTTACGCATACATATTGCGAATTTCATTTTCCCGCTTTTTTTGTACAAAATCGTACTCAATATATGAAAAACAGGGCAAGTGTAAATTTTGACTGATTTGTAGGCACATTAAGCAAATACCGCGGGTATAGCGGCGAGTGTAAACATTCACTCAATCCCATAACTATTATACCACACAGTGAATTGTAAGTTGCTATTATTTGTATCGTTGTTGTCGATCTTACGAAATAGCACTAAGTTGAATTTCGCTCTAATAAATTGTATCTGTTATGGCGACCCTGCATCGTTCAGTCTGTGACATGATTAGATTCGCCACTACGCCACGCCGCCCAGACATCAAATATCAGTCGATCGTGCAAGTAAGTATTTGAAAAGCATTTTAACATGGAAGTTCGTTAAATGCAGCTGTTTATACTTTCTTCAATTTATATTTGCTGTGAATCTGACATCATGCATATCACAACTATACAGTAGTCATGTTCAACTGTTATTATTGGCAGCACGCATGTATCGACCTAATACGAATGCATGGGAAGCTGCAATAAAACTACGTCCAACACATATCAACGGTTTAATGCTGCCTTGGAACATATCGACTATTTCTGAAACCACTATTCTGAACAGTTCGTAACACGGATGTGTTTGCATCGCTGAATTGAAACAGATATGTAAAGAATAAATTATACTGTTGAACCCGGCACAAGCGTACATCTATTTTATAATTATCGGGTAAATACGAGTGTAGAATACAGCATGAAGTATTCTAGAAGGCTGTATGGGGTTCATATCAAGTGACGCTGAATACTAGGTTATTAGGAGAGTACAGCATTTTCCCTATTTGCATTTATCCAGAGAGATAGCATCTACCGAGAGCATGTACGCGTTTCGCGACTTAACGATCGTTACCTCGCAATTAATTGTTCCCATTATTACTAAGTAAAGTGAACAGTTTATAGGATTAAAAATGGTGCAAACTGTTTGACCATAATCCACGAACGCCTCAATAACACATCCAAACCCTCCCGTAACGCATTCATCATATCCGCGCGGGATTCTAAGTTTTATTATCAATGTCTGATGTATAATAATCGTAAGGTAATATTTTTATTACATTTTAGGAATGGTCAGACCACCGTTTAAAGTGGGACCCTGACAAATACGACAATACAAAATATCTTCGCATTCCTGAAAATGTTATATGGATTCCGGATATTTATAATTTTAATGGGTATGTAGGGGTATATTTTGGAATAAGGGTGTGGTATGTAAGAGTGTATATTGGAACACGTGTGACGTACGTGCGGTTATATAAAGGAATACGTGTGATACGTACGGGTGTATATTACATTACGTAGATGATGTACTGGTGTATATTGGAATACGTGTGCTATGTACGGGTGTATATTCGAATACGTGTGGTATATATGGTGTATATTGGAATACGTTTGGTATGTATGGGTGTATATTGGAATACATGTGGTATTTATGGGTGTATGTTCGAATACGTGTGGTATGTACGGGTGTCTATTGGAATACGTGTGGTATGTACGGGTGTATATTGGAATAGGTTTGGTATGTACGGGTGTATATTGGAATACGTGTGGTATGTATGGGTGTATGTTCAAGTACCGGTGGGGTGGTGTAACAACAATGCGCTGGCATCCATTGCAGAAGATAGACTCGTCTACCCGGATTATTTGAAATAAAACCCTTATGAACATTGTAATCATCATCGTACTTGTTAATAACCATGAGAACTGTATTATTTATAATTAATCGATTAATACTTAAATAGTGTCGTTACTACCTACCTGAACAATACTTACTCGTCATATTTATTCGAATTTGATATCTTGGTTTTCTTGTAAACCTATATTTTTATCCTTTTTAGTCATGTAATAACAGAAATGTAAATATCTTTTTTATACCTGCGAATAAAAATTAGAAATGTATGGGTGTATGTTCGAATACGTGTGGTATGTACGGGTGTCTATTGGAATACGCGTGGTATGTACGGGTGTATATTCGACTATGTGTGGTATGTACGGGTGTATATTGGGATACGTGTACTATGTACGGGTGTATATTGGAATACGTTTGGTATGTACGGGTGTATATTGGACTATGTGTGGTATGTATGAATGTATATTGGAATACGTGTACTATGTACGGGTGTCTATTGGAATACGTGTGGTATGTACGGGTGTATATTGGTCTATGTGTGGTATGTATGAATGTATATTGGAATACGTGTACTATGTACGGGTGTATATTGGAATACGTTTGGTATGTACGGGTGTATATTGGAATATGTGTGGTATGTACGGGTGTATATTGGAATGTGTGTGCTATGTACGGGTGTATATTGGAATACGTGTGCTATGTACGGGTGTATATTGGAATGCGTGTGGTATAGACGGGCGTATATCGAAGTATGTGTGATATATGTACAGGTGTATAATGGAATACGTGTCATATTCACGGCCGAATGTAGTAATACGTGTGACATTTTGGTAATAATCGCTATATTTAGGAAATCATTTAACATAAACAATGTACATAAAATATTCAGCTTATTCCGGAATTGGCATATATGTACGCATATATATATATCTCGATCGGAATATAGATCTTGTTTTTGGCGCACTTTATTACATCATAGCGTACATTAAAACAGCTACGTATAATTTTCTTTCCCGAAAAACCTACAATTTGGTGCCACCCGAGGAAGAGATTTTTCTTAAGCCGATTGGAATTTAATTTCCGAATGAGGCTTGGTTCTCACTGAGTATTTTTCAGTGTACCGAGAAGTACGAAGACAAAGTATTCCGATCGACATATATTTATTTTTGCTCCAGATGCACTTGTACACATATGTCCCGTTGAAAGATTTGTCTTGACTGCCTTGTAATGTATCTATATGTAGCATTTTCTACGACGCTTTTGAAACTGCAGTATGGTGTGTGTTTTTTTATTTGTGACTGAACTACGCATAATCTGGTTCTAAAACTGGGAAGCTGTCAGTCAGCCGTCAGATTGCATCCCAGAAATATTGGACACTATCACTTATTTTGTCAATCTGTCTTTCATATTGAATCTGTTGAGCAAATTGGTTGTGGTCATGGTAATAATCATGAGAAGAAACACGATTAACTAAATTTTTCATAACACATTATGAGTAAAGAATTGTGTGTATCCTGCATTCGAGAGGATATAGAGAAATTAAAGATTCTATATATAGTGTCATTAGTCACAATACAACACTGATTTTATTTGAGTGAAAGTGTGCCATTTCCTTTGGATTACCGTAAAATACAGTCAGGTACATATACTTTCAAATTATGAGTCATACGAGTAGTATGAAGTACAGTATTATAAAGACAAAAATCAGCGAAAGCACAATGCGAGAAGTGACTTTATAAGCTGGGAAATATAAAAATATACACAACGCACATTAATACAATTGTCCGAATAGCACTATTTCACTGATCGATGTAAACGTATTTCCCGACGAAGCTGACTGTGTCTCTGGCCAATGAAATATTGTTATTGGAGTCAATTAATTACATGATTAATCCCTGACTCTGTACGTTTTGGTATAACTCGGAGTGGGAAATTTTACTAATGGATTTAAATAAGCAGTATAGAAATAATTTTCATTACATTCTCTAAAAGTTGATGTCATGCTGCTATATCAAACTATACATCACCTGAAAGCTTAGATATAGCCGAATACGGCAGTGTAAATTTGTGCTGTACTGGTGTTTGTTTAAAGTGGTTTTACGCTTTGCTAGGTATCCGGCTATAAATTCAGGGAGTTGTAGTTTTTTGTGAGCAGTTTGCGTGCCAATGCACACAAAAACTGTGTTTTGATTTGTTGTCAGATTTTAATTTTCTAATTACCGAATGTCAAAATTGGACGAATATTTGTCGGTAGCATATCTGTTATTATTGTTCTCTTGTTTTCCCCATGTTGCTACTTTAATGACTTTTTTATTTTATTATTGATTATTAGAGTGGGCGACGATTCTAGTCGGTTCGCCGGTAATGCGCTGGTTAAATACGACGGAAAGATTTACGTGGAAGAAGCCCGTATCCTAAAAACCATGTGTCGAATGGATATGACGTATTTCCCATACGATATACACCGTTGTAACATAAAATTTGGTTCCTGGTCTTATACCGAAGATTTACTCACGATGAAAATCGGGAATGATATCGATTTCCATGATTTCATGAAGAATGGCGAGTGGGAACTCCTAGACGTGTCTTCCCATACGAATCCACATGAGGTGACAAACTACGACGGGAAGACGTTTACGGACGTGGTGTTTTCTTTGGTGTTCCGCCGAAAGTCATCTTTTTTCACGGTGAACTTTGTAGCTCCATCAGTGATTGTCTCACTGCTGACTATTCTGTCGTTCTGCTTGCCGCCTAACAACCCAGAAAAGGTGAATCTGTGCGTTACTATTGTACTGGGACTGATCGTCTTCACATTGGTGCTGGTCAACGTTATTCCACAAACTGCCCACTCCATAACGGCTCACTACCTGCTTTTCAGTGTCGTAGCAACAGCCCTAGCCGCCCTGGCCAGCACATTCACCGTAAATGTATGCCACATGGGAAGAAAGATTGACGGGCTCACCGTACCGCGTCCAGTCCCAAAGTGGGCGAGGAAATTATTAATCAACACACTTTCTCGCTGTCTGTGTATGAAAAAGCCCCCGGGTTTGAATCATGACTCGTCTATAAAGGCTAGCTACACGCCAAGTGAGCGATGCGACCGTGAGGAAGTGACACAGCTGGCTGATACGGACATTCGTAAAGCGAATGGTGATAGACCTAATGACGTATGCAGATGAACTGTCTCATACGGGTACCACAAGACGGTAAACTATTGGTAATTTGCAACAGTTTTTGTGTGACTTATTTAACAATCTTCTGTTTTGTCATCCTAATTCGTAGCACATGCACTCCACTCCGCTATGATATGTTGTGTACACATTTTGTTATGGTTTGTATACACTCTGATCATCTTCGCCAGCCAAGGGCCATTTATTTAGCCGAAGCCTCAACATTATACCCTTGGCAGATTGCACCACGATTTACTGTATGTCGCACGCCCTCAAATGATTATAAAATTCACTTAGGCTCATTTGCATCACCTATTCAGAACTAACGAAAGAAACTGCACGTTCTTGATAAAATTAAAATGGCGGAATCAAATAGACGTGTTGCTAGCTTTTTCTCTGAACGAGCTTACTGATCATCAAAAGAAAGCGCTTAGTGCTGCATCTGAGGAAACGAAGACCGAATCGGACAAGTCAATATGTTATCTGTTTCGACAGTTTTGTCAGTTTACTAAAACACTGTTTGCACAAATATTTAGACATTCCATCGTCCTCATACTTGGTGGCGCCAGCTCCTTGGCGCGCCCAATCAAATGACTCGATTTAGCGGCGATGAAATACAGCCTTTCCTAACACGTTCACGCACGGGTTCGTGGGTCGGTTATGAATGGCCGGCTTTAGCGAAACTGTGCGATTCGGACGGTTACACTCTGATATGTTTTGTATATACTCTGTTAGATATCTACACAGTGTCTCTCTGGTATGTATTGTATACACTCTGACATGTTTCGCATATACTCTGGTATTGTATACACTAAGTACGTACTGTATACACTCTGGTAAATATATTGTATACACTATG